GTCTCTGAAATATAAAAGACTTCTTTTATGAGCTGAACATTCTTGGAACTCGCTGCGCGGAACTATACAGGTGCGCGCGGGTCGCGTTTTATTTTCCCGGGAATATTTTTGTGTCGTAACCGGAGCTCGGAGCCCCGCGGGCTTGTGCGGCAATGCCGCTGGTTAATACAGCCGTTTTTTCTACCGTTGATCGACGCTCGATTGGCCTTGATGATTCTCGGAATTGCTCCCATCTGGGACTTTTAATTCTGTTTTATTCGGGAGGTCAACATTCGATGTGCGTCTGATGCCGGTGAATTCGAAAGATGCTGCAAGCGAATTTCTTGGTGGTTTCCCCGGTAAAACTTGCTTCGAAAACTTGGGGTATCAATTATTAGGCACTGCATATAGTGCATGCGGTTTTCTTGTTAGCATTGAATTGAGGCCTGATTTCGATCAGTACTTCGTTAGTTTAATAAATGGAATTGGTATTGGCGTTAACTTATGTTTCTGTTATTACAGCTATTATGCTTATGGTTACGCATACTTGCTATTAAATAAAATAAAATTATTTTACAAAAACGTTCTCCGTGTTTAAATTTTGATTTAAGAATCTGCACGAATTTTTTTCGGTTCTTAATACATCTAACTTTGTTTCTAAAAATTCCGTTCGATATTTCGAGTGATAACAGTTATAGTTTCACGACAGGATCATAATATTATCATTGTTGTTGAATATTATCAATCCAATCCCGATAATGATTCGTACCATTAACTTCCAGAAACGATCGAGCAAACTAGCATTAAGCTAATCCACTAAAACCGAAGCGCCACAACAATGCGTCAGTTAAATTCAGCTCACGTTACCCGATCCGGCTAACTAAGAATCGCCGCGATAGCTCTTTTTTCCGGCATCGCCTTCGAGAGCAAGAACAAGAGGGTGTTCCGGGCGGACAAGCGGAAACGCTTTAAAAGTTTCGTACGGGCGGGCAATTAAACTTCTTCGCCGTCGTGAAAATTGGGAATTTATGTCGAGTCGCAAGTGAAAGGGTGGAGGCTTGGTAAGCAGGCGTAGGGGGTGAAAATTTTGTCAATTAAAGTGTCCTTAGCGTGCCGGGGGAAAATGGCCGCGCGGCGAAAAAGAGCGGGCGGCTTGGAATTGTTTTGTCGGGAGCCCGAGCCTTTTTCCTCCCTTAATGCGAAACTTATAGCGAAATTAGGGGTGGGCGGCGTCGGCGTCGGTGCTGGCGTCAGCGTCGGCGTCGGTGGTGCGGAGATGTATGCCGCAATTACGCGGCTGTCCACCGGACGGTGAAATATATCGCGCGCCCGTGGCGGCCGGTTCTATCGAACACAATCGAGTCTCGCCCGATAAAATCGTTTTTCAAAATTCGTTACGAACGTGCACCGAAAGGGCGGGGGTGCGCGGTGGTTAATAGGAAGCTTTGGAATTCGGAGCAGCTCTGCGGCGCGTAAATCACGTGGATCCGCTGGACTGTTCCCTCTCTTTCTCTCTGTCTGTCTGTTTTCCCGCGCCGCGGCGCCACCCCCGCACGTTAATAGGTTTGCACGTGCGTGTCCCTAAACGTAATACAGATTTTATCTACCCCCGTTGTCTACGGTCGAAGGGTACGCGCCGTCGGTCGCCCACCGCACCGGCAGACGGTTTGATCCACGTTTGGCTCCACCGATTTCGAAATCCCGGCGAGATCATTGCTCGATCGACCGTTACTCATTAAGGGAATCGGCCGAAGCCTGATCCCTATCGCGGAAAATAATGCGCTCCGAGGGCGGCCACATGATAATGCGACCTGCCCCCTCGTCTAGCATATGAATCCCGCGCTGTGGCAATCTGGATTGTTCGTTTGATCGAATGCACTCGATTTTCCTCATTTGATTTTTGATGAACGATTTTAAGGATTGTTTGGAGACTGTTTTAAGTTCGTTGCGTGCCTTTACTACCAGGCAGTAAAGATTGAGAAAGACGTGTCGATTTTTGAGTGATTTTGGTTCATCTTTAATGAAATTGAATTAATGCAATTGCGATTGAATATTATTTTTCAAAATCTATTGGTGAATCTCCCAAGAGTTTGCTATTGAAGTGTGTGTAAATATGATGAATATACACGGTGGGGCATAGCTATAGCACCATTAAAATTTTTATAATTATTATACTTTAAAAAAATAATTCGTCAAAACCAATTGTGCTAAATGAAAAAGTATTGCAAATAATCATATTCAGATGAAGCACATTGAACTTGGTTACATATATACTGTAGTATAGTCAAAAAATAGTTTTCTATCGGTACAGAACTATAACACCACCTTCAGTTCTTAATGCCTTTCATGATTTTGTATTGTAAAACTGTAACTAACCATAAAGTTTTTTCTTTAATTCATATCATACTACGCGGATTTATTTCGGCGAACAAAAATAAGGTGAAATTTTAGCGCATACAGATGCTGAAATTAAAATTCAAAAAATCGCACGCAAACTCGAGCGATCTCATAAAGTTGTTTAAAATTTTCTAAACAATATCACCGAATATGAACCACATAAGAAGGGGGACATAAAAAAATTTGTCTCTGCATAGTAAATGACAGATAATTAAAATTTCGTGTCAGCCCTCCAATCTTAACAGTATCCAGTCCTCTGTGTTACCGTAAATATCTTCATTGCTGGATTCACGTCGTTATAATCAATGCTGATGCCGTGAAACCTTGTCAGTCGACTACCATGTGACACCTGAAAGATCTTCTCGGAAGGCGTTTCTACTTTTTAATCAACGGGGAGTGTCTGGAGACCGACGATTCTGTGAAACCGTTGCGCAACGCTCTTTTCCCGTCGATTAGAAAACAACTTCGGGTTCGTTTGTTTCGCGCGGTTTCGTGTAAAATCTGAGGGGAATCCAAGGATTCGCCCGAATTCGCGATAACGAGATCGCAGCGGACAGTTCGCAGAACGCACCGCGCTTCGACGAACAGGATATCGTTACACTGTTAATCTCATGGGCCTAACGCGTCTATAAATTATCAGCTCGCGCTATTCCCCGCAGAAAGTGTTCGCAAACGAGCTGGATTTTACGGTTCGCGTTCGAGGATAGTTTATGGACTCGATCCCGGTATACTGTTAGGCTCGTTTCTCCGGATCGTTATCATTCGCTGACCTTCGCGCTGTTATCGTGATGAACCGTTGAGATCTCGCGGCCAGGAAGTTCCCTTTTGGAAAGATACAGTGGAGTCTCAACACCTGACGTGCGTTTTAACTGACGTCTACTAGCGAAGAAAATGTATTTTGGGAGTTTCTAGAAATCATTTTTTATGTTTGTCGTTTCACTGGAGGCACTCGTACCTCAACTGTACGAGGTAGGCAGGGAATCCTGAAATTTAGAGGTTTCTTCATTTCTTTCGTTTCTGGCATATTTAAATTTCTCGTGAGCAACTGTCAAGTGATATTTCATCAATATAATATGAAGAAACGTCATTCAGTTCAAATGTTCTTTCTACTTCATAAAATGGGGAAGCATTAGATAAAATTTTGCTAAATGTTAAACACTATAGTCCGGTATAACTGTACAACTATAAATTCTAACGACAGGAAAAGAAGATCACTGCTATTCGACACTGTCATCGCTGTTTCATGTGTTGCGCAATTGCTCAAGCGATTCATTGTCAATGCAGAGATGCGTCTATTATCGAGGCACTACTGCAGCAGACGATCTCTTGCCTCGCGAACTCTCTTGTGTTTGCTCTGTCAATAATAATGAACCGGCAAGGGCAGTCCGTCGTTGTATATTTTCCCAGCGATTCCACGGCCGGCTATTATATCTTCCCGGAAGACGCTCCTCCGGATCCGATTCCAATGATCTTCCGACAATCATTTCGTGTCCAATATGTCCTCGCGCGAGAGTGATTTACCGGCGACCCTGTATCCGAGTTTCCAGATTTCAAAGAGAGCGCGAGGATCTCGTAAATTACGGGGTTAACTATCCGTACAATCTCTCGAACGGGCTGTTGCCCGTGCTTAAAGATTGAAACGGTAATTTCACCTGCAACGACGATACACACGCGTGCTGCCGAAGGGGGTTTATGTTGGCTCCACGGTGCTTGTCGCGCGTCGTTTTGCCAAATAAAACTGTTAACCGCCTGCTCGAGCGTCGTAAATTTAATCGGATTAATTTTCGTGTGATTCTGCGCACTTTGTTTAGCGATTAATCCACTTTATTGCAACCAGTAACTTACCGCGGTCTGTTACGTCGAATGGAAAAATGCTACACGTGTTGTTAAACGATGTAATGGTGACTAATCCTCTTGACATTGTAAAGGAAGCTTTAAGAATGAAAATATGAAATTTTCATTATGTATTTCCCAGAACTTAGACTTTCAGACTTACGCAACAAATTTTCAAAGAATTAACCAAATCTCCAACTAAATAATACGTTTAAGAATTAAAGAACTGCAATAAGTAGCATTCAAAAAGCCAACATTTCAATGTTAATTATGATAGAAATATATAACTTAAAGCTTACTATTGTAATTTAGTTTGCCTGATTGCAATTAGTACATTACAGTACGAACGCCGCATTGGAAAATATTACAACAAGCTTTCTTGGTCAACCAAATATGACGAAGAAAACAGGGCTCACATCGAATTTCCTACATTCAACGAGAAAAGTCTCGGAAACGAAACGACCCAACCAGCTCCGCATAATTGGGATGCGGATCGATCGCGAAAGTGAAGAAAAAAAGCGTTGGAAGGATTTCGGGGTGAGGATCGAAACGCGTTTCCCACGAAACAAAACAGGACAGTGTTCCACGCAAGGTACCGTTGCACTTCCGGCAAGGAAGCGTGGCGGTGGGGGAGCGAGCACGTGGTCCGTGGATTCACCCCATGAAGAAAGAAGAAGGCTTGGTGGTTGAATAAGGGCGGGAGCGACGAGGCTGCGCGCGCAGCGGCGGGCCACGCTGCCGCCGGTGACTCGAGAGTCGGCCGCGTGGTCTGGCCGTCTCAGTAACTCCGAAACCTTCGAGCGGGAGAGTCACGTTCGACCTCGAGCTAGACGGACGAACGAGACGCGCGAAAATATTTCTTCTTGCTCGCGGGTATTTTGTCAACAACGGTTTTCTTCGCGTGTACCTTCAATTCAAATTCGTGACAAAAAACTTCGGTCTGTACACATTCTCTCATCGATCATTTGTGAAAATACTAGACTGTGATCCGCGAGTGAAGTCAAACTCCTTCGAAAACTCGAAGAAACTGTACTGTTTCGTATTCCGTTCGAGCAAGGACGATCGAATTGAGTTTATTCCGATGAAACGTGATTTCTAGACGCTCGTCGACTGCTCCTTTGGCGAGCGAAATCGAGTTTCTTGAAAGAAGATATCTGCCGAGATATCGTGTCCTTTCTGGTTTCTGTGCGTGTGATGTTCCATGGTTGATCGAGCCTCAACGAGACTTGTTTATCAAGTTGGTTTTACTGGAGACTTCGCTATGAAGGCGGTTAGCTGGGCGACGATCATTTCAACGCTCGCAGTATTGGCGGATTCGGTGCCGACCGATTCCGTGCAGCCCAGGGTCACCGTGCTGAAGTGTTGCTTGAACAAGGAGCACCTGGTCCGGGCTCCCGAGGGGAACCCAGAGACGTCGACGCATTGCGAGCCCAGCGAGAAAAATTGGCAGCCGTTCATCTATTCGCCGTCCCGCAGGAAGTTCCTCGAAGAACTGCCAGCGGAATGGAATGTCATTCAAGGCAAGAAACCGGAGTGCGGGGAGAACGCTGAACTTACGTACGTGCCGTACAGAAACACGAATCCGTTCGTGCTGTTCGATGACGGACAGGCGATGCTAGACGTTCACACGACCGAAGGATTCAACCCGGGCGAGTATTGCGCGGATGCCGAGGCTCTGCTTGTCTGCGTGCAGAAGAGAATGGGCGGAAACCACGCGGCCGCGACCATGAGGCCACGGGTTAGGCAGTGTTGCGGTGAAAACGCGGCGTTTCACGAGGAAAAGTAAGTTTTTTTCGAAATTTTCGGAGGTGTAGAACGTTTGTCGCCGACTTATCTGGTGACGAAGTGTTTTTGGTTACACACTGAACTGCGGGGTATTGGTGTAGTAAATTGATATGATAACGAAAGGGATTGTTTGTATTGACGATGAATGTGTCAACTTTCTAGTAAGAAGGTAGACTGTAGTCTTCGGGTTGTCTGTTTAGAATATTATTTCAACATGTAGAGACACGTTGGCTAGTGATATTTTTCTTGTAGTTTTGTCAGCTGTGGAAGTACCTTTGACGAAGAAAGAATAGGTCGATAAATACAGAGTTAGGGTAAATATTTCAGTGTTCAATGTTTTGGAGTAGTAAGGCACTTCTGAGTAATTAGTCCTTGAATCAGTATTCGATTTTGACCAGACAGAAATAATAACTGTTAATCCTTGGAAGAACTAGGATATTCTATTTTCTTCAAATCGGCGTTGTTTATTTCAATCGCAGCGCAAAAGTATCGCAGAAGAGGGGAGGGAGATTTGAAGGACGTTGTGCTACAAGAAAGAAGATAAATCGCATGAGTATAATAAAAAGAAGTATGCGGAAGCGTAAAAGTATATTGTAGAACGTAAGAAGGAACTCGGTGGTGTAACGGATAATAAGGAACCACGTTAGATCGCGGAACATAACCTCATTCATCGACTCGGATTCCCGTAGATTGAATATCAGATTCATGGGTAGGATCCTGTTAGCTTAGACGGCTTAATAGGTCCGGCAGACGTCTAGCAAACGAACGATCCGGGTCTACTATGTCTAATGCTCCTTTTCTCTCAACAATCTGTAGCGAACGCCAGTCTAAACTCGTTTAGAGGGTAACCGTCTAATGTAAGCCTGTCAGGATCGGTCCACGGGGTCCCGGACACAGCCCGTATCTCATGGGCGCACTTGGTCCTACGGACGATTAGATTAATATTAGAGCCCATTATCCGGATAGATTGAGATTTAACTCGGCCGTAAACGATCGGTTACAATGCGCACCTGATATTGATTATCCGATCGGATAACTGGAGCGAATCGATCGCGCGTTTGTCTGTTTACACCGAAACCTCGAGCGAAAGTACCTACGCAGGTCGATGTCCCGTTCGTGGATACGGTCGCGATATATTCGCGGGCATCGAGGCCGCGAGCACGGAAAAACAGAGAACGTCGAAACCGAATAACATTCGTGAACCAATGACTGTGTGTCGCGAGCACTCCGCATTGCTTACGACAAGAGTTTCGTGATGGTACAATAGCAAAAGGTGTCTTTTGATATGTGTTTTGTTTAATATCCTCGCGACCACCGTTTGTTTCAGTAGCGTATAGTCGTAATATTTTATTAAATGTAACGTATCGTTTTTGTAAAATGAGAATGAAATTCAAGAAAAAGGTCTCGTCAACTTCCTATAGGTTAAATTAAGACTTTCATTTAACTGATTTGATATAGTAAAATAATAAGGTCTTATATACAATATTAACACTTGCCCTGCCATAGTTGTCCCATCGGATCGGAGTTTCGAAATGACTTGAAAACAATTATAATTTATAAAACAACTGACGTCGAATAAAGATGTTCAATAGTGTAAATATAACACTATAATAGGATAACAGTATAACGTAAGAATTATGTTAGCAAATAATTATTAATTGTTCCTTTTTATCTTTGTAACAAAGGAATAAGAGATACGTAAAACGCTGACATTTTTCGTGGCAGCGAAAGTGTTAAGCTTTGTACAATGTATCAAAGCACTGTAATGAAGTAGCTTTGTTTCTTAATTTGTGTTTTTTTTATTAGTTAGTTTCAAGGAATGTCTTCTATGTCTCACCGGGAATCGTTGAATATTTCTGGAGTAAAACTTTCGAGTGCAAAGGGTTAGAAAATATGAAAACTGATGAAGTAGACCAATATTCTTTTCAGATTTCTGAACAACCGTGGAGTACGCATTCTCTATCAGAGAGAGAGAAATAAACGAGCCTCGTCTGTTTAGCGTCGTCTTGTATTCTAATATTCGAGTTCCTGCCAGGCCTCGAGAGTGTAATCCGGCACAGTCAAACTGAAATTGCACTCTTGAAACCTACCTACCCGAGCCCCAATAAACTAAAGTGCAGGCAACAAACCCTCGGCGCCCCGCTGCGCGTCGCAAAGTACATTTTTGACTCGTTTGGTCACGGGTGCTGGGGAAGGTCCCGGAAAATTGTGAAGTTTCGGTGGGAAATATTACGGCGGTGAAATAGCGAGAATGCGTCGCTGGAATTAGTATAAATACGTTGTTTCGAATTACGTGACGACGCTGTTATTTTTTTCTATTCTGTTCAGGTGCGTGTTTCTCATCTAGGATCTGATATGGACATTTTTGGAACAATGTTAATTGTAAATGAACATCAGTTAATTGCAAGACGAGGTGTATCTATATACCAACTGTCATTAACAACTAGGTTATAGATGTTACATGTTTACAGCACTCGCGTATACACGAAACGCAGAATTTCACGATATTCCACTGAAATATGAACAAATATTTTTTTCATCGTCGTGTTAACGAAATATATAAAGAAATAAGTTTCTATTCGACTGTATTTTGAAACGATCATTTTACTGAAACACAAAGATAAATAAATATTTACAATTTTCTCCCAAAAAAATAAAGAATTTCACGTCTATTATATAACAAATTTTAAAGAACAAGACCCAATAAAATCAGAACATTTAAATCCAAAGATAAACATAATATTGATTCCTTTCGAGCATTCGCCGAAGTTCTTATTCCGTTCCAATATTCATCGGCAAACCTTCAAAACCGTCAACTGAAATGCTTGAAATCCTCAAAATCATGGATTCTAAACTAATAATAGATTGATGTAAAATTCGCCAAATCGCGTGCACGGTATGAGGTTTGAAGAGAAGGTTGGAAATGATTGATTCCATGAATTCGCTCTCGGTGACGGTCTTCGGGGGCTCCGGATGGAGCAATCCATGCGGCGATCAACGAAATTTATCGGTTTCACCTGACTGTACCGTATTTTTATTGAAAGCCCCGGTTGTCGTTCGACACCCGGGTCAAAAATAAATGATCGCCGACCAGCTCGGCCGAGTTCTCTCCCTCGAACGCGTTTCTGTTTGCAATGCAAGCGTGACGTACGGGTAAACAGAGAACGGCCGGGTTCCGTTTTAATCGCGTTCCCAATCGGCCGTGCTTGGGCGTTCCGTGGACTTTGTTGGCATTCTGTGTAGTCAGCTCGCCTAGCGTTTCCTAGATAAATTCCTGCGATACCGCGTATTTCTTTTCCTCTTCTCCCTTTTTTTTCTTTTTTTATTCTTTTCGTGGCGTGCATTGCCGCGAGAGAGATTGCAAACCTTGCTCTCTGCTCGCGAGTCGAGTGTTTACGTTGAAAACCGCGTACGTCTCGGATTCCGTGAACCCGCTAAGTAAGAATTCTACGTGACCGCGCATTTTGAATCGTCACCCGTGAATAGTTGGTCCCGATGTCGTGACGCTGCTTCTGGAAAATGGAATATTCGAATTTCGGGTAATTAATTCTCAACGGGTGAAGGGTTTAGACGTTCTCTATTGGACTCGTGTTATGTGTTAAGTAGTACATAAATCAGTAGAACCTCGAATATTCGATTTAACTGAGATGTTAATAGTCGAGGTAAATGGAAATTTGGGAAGAAATATGTTTAAATGTATTTGTAAATTTGGGTGTTATATAATATATTCTGAGATAGAATTCAAGATTTCAAATTATTGAAATTTTACCGCCGTAAGAATAACTTAGATCGCGAAAAATAATGATTGGGTACGAACAATAGCGAATCGAGGTACTATTGTGGTTTGTGTTCTCTTGAATGTCGAGATTGTTTAACCTTTCAGCCTCGACGACATTTTTCTACTATACATATTCATTATTTTCTCCACTGAATATCGATAATACTTTTAGCAACTAACATAAAGAAAAATATTGCACAAGTTGAAGGGTAGAAATATTTTATTTTATTACTTCATGTGTTGATACATTCTACAAAATTTATTACCATCAGAATTTTATAATTTTGCTGTGTTCAATCAAATGGCGATTGAAAACCGTTTCTCGAGTGCAAAAGGTTAAAGTGTGATCCTTTTAAGGTTCATCTAAATTCTTAGTTTTTAAAAATTGTATGTACTACTTTTGGAGTGATTTATGAATAGTATTTCATCGTGGTACTCAATATATTTTCAGTGTGATAAATTAATCATTTATCAATAAGTTGAATTAAGGATCAGGTAGCTGAGTTAAAATTAAATCACTGTTTTCTATAAAGTTCAAATTTGAGTGTCAAATCAATGAACATCGTTAATCGCGTCAATACTTTTACAGACATGCGTGCGCCATTTTGAAGGAATCGGTAGAAGACACGCCGTTGCTACCAAACGCATCCTCTTCCGTTGAAATCGTAGCCGGTTTCCCAACATGTCCACGTTGGGACAACTTCTCGATCGTAGGAGACACGAAGGATGCTGTGTTGTTGCCGGACGGTGGCCTGGAAATCGGCGGGGTCACTTTGCCTGCTGGTCAGTTTTGCGTAGAAAGGATTAAGGAACTGAAAGTGGCCAAGGTGTTCGCGTGCTCGGAGCACGACTCGCAAAGGTTCGTACAAAACGTTTTATTATTAGCAGATTACGGATCTTTAGAAAATGGTTTTTCCTAAGAAACACCATAAAAAACACTACACTTTAAATACTTCATGTGTTTTTTCGTTCCAAATGTTTTATAAGTGTATAAAGATCCGTAGTCTTATTATTAGCATTTATTGTCAGTCGTAACTTTGAAATTTACCATCACTCGAAAATTCAACGTTGTCCAAATTTGATTACATTGTACGCGTCTATATCTGAAGACTCCAGTAAAATAAGAATCTTTACAAGTATACCTACAAATTTATATTTAACATGTTCATGATAATAGTAAATTTCTATGCCATATTTGTCCAACGATACTATGCTAAATATAACATAACTCCCCAATGAAATATTAAAGCAAAATGTATCAATTGCAATTCATTAATTCCCTCAAGCTTGAGCTACTGCAATTTCAAATACATACGAGTGAAATTAACTTTTCTAATATTCTTTTAAATAAAATACACGATCTTCCTTACAAATAAACCAGGAAAGAATCCGTTGAACGGTAATGTCTAATTAACAGCTATTTGGTTATCGAAATAACATCCCCCAGGCGCAGACCACGTTGCGATATAATTTCCCTCAAACATGATGAAATTATAATAACAGAATTCCACTTTCAATTCTCACAAAACGTCGCTCTATGAACATGAAAGTATAATAAATTCTCCGTAGAATGTTTATTCGACTATCGAACGATTAGTTCATTTTAAAATAATAATGTTCGGATCTGGCTGCGGCGGCTGTTCACCGTATCCTTAATTACCCGCGCAACTGCTTGATTATTACTTTCCTTCTCGTTCCTCGAGACCGCGTTACGATTTCCTCTCGTTAACGCCGTCGGTCCTCGAACCATCTAGCGCACGGAATGAGCGTCCGTCTCGACGGACCGCGTTTTCTTCGTTAAGGGAAATTAACGTAACGAGACCAACCCAGTCGCGCGATAACGCGTGTACATGCGCGAAAGTGAGCGATACGCCGGGGAAACGCGAATAACAGGATACACAAACTGGCCGCAAGTTCCTCCGTGTTTTGGGAGGATTTTGAAACAATGTAAACAACGCGCATTTTACTGTTTTAACACTTTATGTACCGGAAACTTATTAAGCCCTTGTTCTATGATATCTTTTGTAACCGTGCTTGGTAAAATTACTTTGTTGTTAATCCTTTGCCGGATCATTTTATTCGCTCTACGCTCGACAAATGTGTTTTATATTTAATTATTTGGGAGAACGCAGAGGAATTTTCTCTTTATTGTGGGTAGATCCTTATTTTGAAGGTGAAGCATTTATAATAAAATAATTTTTAGTCCCGACTTATATGCGATGAATATTGACTTTTATTAAATCGTATTACAAATTTTCACTGAGGGTTTCATTCGTTAGTGTACAACAAGGGGTTAACAGTCTGCTGCGAACAGAAAAGAATTCTATGTTCATTTATTATAGCAACTCAGTACTACAACTGAGTCAGTTAATGAGTAACAGCCTTGATCATGAGTGGTAGATAAAGTATTAATCAATGATCTATTTACATTAATTATGTACAATTACTTGGCGTCTCGCGAATAATTAGTTTATTTCATTTGTATAAAACGTCTTCGGTTGTGATGCAAACCAGAATTATACACGCGACTCAAACATCAACGAACTTATGGACTGACCCGATAATTGCCACTGTGTTCGACCGTTTCAGGAACCACGGATGCAAATCGGGGTTAACGGTATGCGAGCACCGTCGCGCCGCTCGTTCCTTTTAATTTATTTCCGATCGAATCACCGACCGGGACTGGCGCGTCTCGACCCACTTCCGAATTGACTTTTTGCTCGGGGAATAATCTGCTCGTTCGATCTGGATTTACTTGAACGGGTTAATTGCTCGTCGAACGATCAGAGTGCACGTACATAGACTGTTACCATCTATCAACGACACATCCGGAAAAATGTCTGTTCTTTGCCTCACTTTCACTCGTCTCACGAGGAATTTCTAGGTCACGCGTTTCATCGCGACGATCCGCTTGGAACGGATCTTCTTTTTTCAATTCGTTTCATTACGAAAGGAAAAGTTGGAGCCTTGACGTCGTTCATACTGTGAATCCTTGGTATTTCTTAGATAAAAGAATTTGAAATATGTCCTGTTGCTAGGCAGTGATATTAGTTATGAAGTGCCGGTAGCAATAAAATTTATTTGCAATAGTTTTACATTAAATTTCTCAAATTCAGAAGTTTGCATTAGAAATTCAATTCAAACTATAACCGTTTGAACTGATTTTTCGATTTCTATTATCCAGTAATTCAAACAGATGTATTTGGAAATAAAAGGTTTTGTGCAAAAAGAGTTAATTGAATTCTAAATTCATTCTATAAATATGTTTTGTTCCACCACAAGACAAGCTTAAATTAAACATTTTATAATTCACTGCAGCAAGATACTTCCACGCAACCACGTTAATAATAAAAACCCACTGGCTTTAAAATCCGAAAAAATATTGAAAAAGTGGAGTCGGTCTCTTTGACCACAGTGCGAGCCTCAATTAGAAACATGCCTCTCGAGAGCAGCACACGGGCCGTAGAATTCGAAAAAGCCAGCGTTTCGTTGTGGAGGCAATTCCGAGCACCAGAAATCCGAAACGGAATTTCTTAATCATTTTCGAACGTCGGGCGTATCCGAATATTATGGATTCCGTTTGGAAGGGACGCTCGTTTTCGTCCGGGATTCCGGGACGCGGCTGGCCGGTAATAGGGTCCTCCGCGCGCGGCACAAGACTCCCCGGAAATTACACAGAAAACGTATCGCAGGTTGTGTCTGGGCACGGGTTTCGCGTGTAATTTGCAAAGCGGCGCTCGAAACTCAATTAACGGGAGCGTTTACATGTGGCCGGTTCCGCCTCGCCGCGTGTCTCATCCTCCGGGAACGGGCCAAGCTTTTACGTGAGTGACTACCACCTGAAGCTCGAAACCTGTGCAGTCCAGACGCTTTCGTTTCGAATCGAAGGTGTTCGACGACGGTTTAAATAACGACGGGACGCGAACAAACTCACGAAAAAGTTCTTCGCGGTCGATCGGAACGGAAGAAAGGCAAACAGCGGAGAAAAACAACCGGTTCTGCGATTATTCGTTCCGGTGATGAGCGACGCGGACGCTTATCTTGCACGAGAAACATTTCTTTTTCTTCGTTTTCTCGTTCCTCTACCTTCCGGCGGTGTTGCTCATTCGTTTCTCGCCGCCGGTGACTAAGCTGAAACCATCTCGGGAATCGGAGAAACGTTTTCTCTCGCGGACTTTCACTCGCCCGTCGAGAACAGGTTGTGTGGATTCACGTCGGAATTTAGGAACTCGTGTAGTACCTCGGCCGGATCGTTTCGTGGAACGAGATGGAAATTCTCGGACCGACGATGATCCGCGGGATTTTAACAACTGCTTGCGTTTTAAATGGACCTCGACCTCTTGTGCTCGTTTTAACCCGGATGAACGAGCGATTTGCGTGATCCGCGTACGCGTGTTATGTTCTAGAAAATGAATGTCATGTTTCAATTGCATACTCTTGTTTTGATGAATCGTCGATTATTCTTTCTACTCTGATTAACAGAAAGTTCATACAGATTGAATGCAATTCTTGAATGTCAATCTTAACACTAGGCTTACAGATTTTTATTGCACACCTTATTGTATTGTATCTAGGAACATAGGTGTTCATTAAAACAAACTTTAGAAATTAAAGCTTCCAAAACTGAGAATTAAAATACGCACTCGTATAGTTGCATCAATCGAAATCGACTTAAACTTTTACTAAATAATGTTTATAAAATATAATATCCGTCAAATTGACGTATACCACAAATCTAGTGTTAAAAACAGAAATAACAAATAAAGTTTCTTTAGAAATATCACAGACATAAATGAAGACGGCATACTTCTAATATTTAAATATCCCGCAGCAATCTCAATGACTCTTCCCTTAATTTTCTCAAATGATGCTTGCCATTCGTGAAAAAGAGGATTCATGTAAAATTAGTTATCCCACGGTATTCAACTATGAACAACACTAATTTTTACGGTACACCCTACAATTTTTCCAGACCAAAGATGGAGGCGGCGGACATCAGGTTCACCTTGTACTCCGTGGGCTTCATCATTAGCGCCGTGTTCCTCGCAGCTACGTTGGCCGCGGGTTGGCTGTTGCCAGCTTCCCATCACGTTCTGCATTGGCGTTGCCAGACCCATCACGTTGCTTGCCTGATGCTCGGCGATATTCTTATGGCCATCATTCAGCTGGCCGGCGTTTCCCTGCATGGCGGAAGCTGCAAGGTGCTCGGTGAGTCATTCCCCCTTTATCGCCGTTGTTTTCTAGCAAACCCCCTGCGATCCGTCGACCGTGTCTCCTCCGTGGGAGCCGGCGGTTTTTCAGGGAGATTAAATCAAAATGAAGAACGGGATTGCTCTACGGCTGTCGCCGCAGCTAGCACCAGCTCGGGAAATTGTCTATGACTCAGGCACGCGCGCGGTACCTTGCGATATTTCAAGGCCCCCGAGCGATTATGCAGAAAAATGGCGCTCAGCACCACGCCCCATGCGTTCAAGAATTCTTTGAAATCGATCGGAAACGCGTATTATTCATTTCTTTATGAAATATTTCACACGCGTTTTCTGAAGGTCCTGCTTGGGTATCGAGCTGTAGCTAACTATATGATGGGTTTCCTTTGTAATAGATTTTCTGTTACAAGATATTGAAACTTGAAATTCACAACGTGAAGAAATATATTATTGATGAGAAGTGTTCACAGTTTCTGAGTGTAAGCCACGTCCATTAGGAATTGTTTCGCAACGTTCCGCTGGTATCATCAGGGGGCTTGAGGACTCACTGATAATGGTTAGCTAGAATCAGTGCTTCCTATTTGAGCTTGCTCAGAGTTACGTATGGATGATCATCAATTCGGTGATTTTAATTGGTCAACTGATCAATTAAAAAATTAAGAACACTTCTCATAGTATTTCTGGCCGTGAATGCCTGAAAGGAATCGTATATTATTCATATTCATTAGCTTCTATGCGAAGTATTCACGAAAAAACCGTTTCTCCCTTTTATAAAGGATTCCTAAAACATGGTGTCTACCGAAATTTGTCATGTTTCCCAAACAAACGTATTGAACGAAATCCTCGCACAAGTGTGACCTCGCTTAACACAGAGGCGCCGATCCGTCCCGAGTTCCGGTCCCGGTACTCACCCAGTTTCCCCCAGTTAACCGTTGATCTCCCATACTCTTTGAAATCCGTGCCATTTCTGGCTGTGGCCTCGACCGGCCGGGTGGGGATGAAATCGTTTCAGCTGCAGCCGAGTAGAAGAAGCGCAATTTCCCGTTAAATTAATCGAGCCGATTAAACGGCCTCAGGCAGAAAGCATCCCTGGCTCGCTTAAGCCCGAGCCGAATTTTTCTCCGCGAACAATCGCGCGCATCGGCAGCCACGCGACTAAATACACCGATGGAATTCGAACTCGGCGCTCGGTCGAAGCTTTATTTGTCGGATTCCGCTCCCGACCCCCGAAACTACGGGCTAATTATTCGGATAATCGTAGTAATCCCTCGCAGAAGCATCCCCCTCTCCCTCGCTGGTCGCGCGATCCCGAGAATCGATTACCAGTCGCGCACCTGCGAGCGACCGCGGCGCACACACCGACGATTCTCTCATTTGCATCTCCCGTACGCGGCCGTTGTGTCGTTTCTGTCCCCCTCCGCCATTATCGCGGCGGCAGGCCGGCTGGCCTTTTTCTCTGCTCGCCAACAGATTTTACCTTAGTCCATTTTGCGGGGCAATTATGTCCCACAGCGGGATAACCGGTGGAATTTGCATGGAATATATTTCTTTCCCTTCGACTTCCCGTAATCTGGCCACCGGGATATCTCACACCCCTTCGACCAACCACTGGATTCTACTGGAAATTTTCTATTATGCTTGTGTATCGCGGTTCGTATGTTTTTTCTTTCCACGTGAGGTACGAACTTGAGTGACCTTCGGGGGAAATCGTGCGGAAGAAGCGATGAATACACTGTTATGGGTGATTCTTTGGGAATCTATGTTTTTTGTTAAGTAAGTCGTTTTAGAGAAGCCAGTAGCTGAGTAAAAGACAGCAAGCGATAAAGTGGTAAGTGATAAGTGTTAACATTGCGAACCGAAAGGGCAATGTTGAATAGAAATATAGATTTGCAAAATTGGAAGTTTTAAATTGAAAATTGAAAATTTACGAAATTATGAATTTATAATTTACAGAATTACAGATTCGAAATTTACGAAATTACGAATGTGGAATGTACAAAATTACAGTTTTAAAATTTACGAAATTACGAATATAGAATGTACAAAATTACAGATTAAAAATGTACGGAATTACGAATTTGGAATTCATAAAATTACAAATTGAGAATGTACAACATTAAAGTATGCAGGAAGGTAGTATAAATATGTAATAAATATACAAGAATTATTCGAATTCATGTTTTATTTATTTTGTGCTGCTTTTCAGCTGTCCATTGTTACTGTCCGAATGTGTCATGCTATGACACAAGAGCACCCTTATTATAAAAAGGCAGACATAAAGAAGCAACTCGAGTAGTGTATTCATTACCCCTTTCGCGTAATTTTTTGAATTCTTAAATGGTGTAACGACCAAAGGTTTATGGTTTCCGGCTTGCATGAGAAGGAGCGTGTTTCATGTAGTGCGAGGACCCCGAATCGTGGGGAAAGGAGAGAAAGTGGGACGCGGCACACCGAGTGACCCACAATCGGGCTCTCCCGGTCGTTTCTTGCTTTTTCTTCAACGGCTGCCTCTCGATTCTCTCGACGGAGAAAAGTTTTAGTTGCTATCGCTTATCGGTGAGTTTCAGAGAGAGAAACAGGGACCGTTGGGCCAACATACGGCGCTGTTACAAAATGTATCAAACACTTCAACTCTTGTTCAACAAACGATTAACTCGTGTTTCTTTAACCTCTGTGAAACGAATTATCTAAGGTGTAATTAATTATATTTGATTTTTACATTCAAATATTTCTCATCCACAACTTATCATACTAATTATTATAGAATCACGTGGTTTTCAGTAATCCTTTTAACCTAAAAATGTAATAAATACACCTTTTTAACATGTCCAAAACATTATACACCAATCATTTTTAAACTCATATAAACCCAAATATAAGTTGATGCATAAGAAAGTAACTATTTTCACCTTGACGCGAAGTATAAGTGTATAAATTCATTTTCCCATTACAAATAAACGTGCGAATCCATATTCCACACGTGACAAAAAAAGAACAAAAAAAGACAGACGTCGCAAGTCACAGTTGTCATAGATTTCTCGCGGGTCCCGCTATAGCCGGATAGACTCCAGGAATCGCGCTAGAGTAGGAAAGATGGTCGCGCATAAATTTTTCAGCCAGCCAATCCAACAGCGACCGACTCGGCCAACTGTATGAGCAATACAAAATTCAAACAACTCTCCGCAGCGCATCGGAGAATACCACAGAAACTCGTTCTGCAGAGACACAGAAACAGAGACAGTAGACACGGTATCTATTAAAATTCACGAGCGTTTTTAATTCGGTTACTTCGGTAGTCTTTGAGGAACCGGACTTCCAGGCGAACCGGGGGCCAGCTGAAAAATTCAACTCGATTACGCGCTCCCCGTCGGAATCTAGTTTCCCGCGTCGCAAAACTTCTGGTTCGCGCGCGACCGGAATAATCCGCGGTCGGAAATTCGCTGGCCGCTTAAGTCTCTCCACCCCGACCATCCTTGCCGGGTTTATTTCCGGTCAATCGGTCCGCGGTGAAATAAATCGACAGGAAGAAAGAAAGACTCGCCTCCGCCGAAACCGAGGCCAGAGACACTATGTTTGACTTCCTCGAAAGTTAGAATTTATTTTTCCACTGGCTCAAGTTTCCCGGAAGCTCGCGGCGTCTCGTTCCCTCGTTGCAGTACTCGTCGTTGTTTACAGCGGATTCCTCGGTGCCAGGGTTTCACGTAACGCGAGACGAACCGACTGAACGCGAAGTCGTCAAGGATGATCAGGACGAAAAATGAATTTTTCTCGGCCGACGAGGCGCGTCTCGTTTGCGGTTCGCCAGCCGCGCCTTTCGCGTTCCTTCGACAGCTTCCAGCACGCTTCTTCTTCGGTGTCCGGTTACGAGGACGCGGCAGAATTTCGCGCTACCGTGGCACACGCTGCCCGCCGTGGAGGATAGCGTTTCATAGTCGCGGCTAACGGTAGCCGATCTTTTTCAACCTCCGGCGTCGCGACCGTTCGCGGAATCGGCGATGGCCTTGCTGCGACACGAACCATTGAATAACGGGTTAAACGTTTCGCCGCGGCAATTACGGCATGCGTTTTTCCTGCGCGCTCGCGCGTGTGTCTACGCCGACGCTGGTATGCGGTCAAACCGATTACTCGGACGTGTTACGATGTGCCTCTCTTTTTTTTGCTTTCCCCTTGCCGATGGTTTTTTCCACCTTTTCGCGCGGGGTTTACGATCCGGCGTGGCGCAAAGATACAAGCCGCGTGTCCCTTGGCCTGCGCCGTCGTGACGCACGCAACGCGTGCGATCCTTGGACCTGGACACCTTCTGCTTGCGGGATTGAACGGTTTTAGCGTCGAATGTGTGTCGAGGGAATATCGGAGCTTGCTGCAATCATCGTTCTTCGTGCGACAGGGTGACGATAATACCGGGTTGGTTTTGAAAGTGTTGCTAAGCGGTCTGTAAAAATGTTTGAAGATGAATTTTGTTTTATTTATTGTATTGGTAAACGCGTTAAGTATCACGCGAGCGATGGGTATCACGATATTTTGTTCTTTTAATTCTTGATTGATGGAATTAGGAAATTTGAAGATTTTTGTTGAATTTTCTGCGATGAATTTTATTTCCTTTTTTGGGGGGTAGTTGAAGAGTGTTTATTTATGTTTTCTTAAAAAAACGTCGTTGTAGTTAATACTTGATGTTTCTTTCGGGAACATTGGGTTCTCCGATTACATTGACTGCTGCTTGTATTAAGAAAATAGAGACGGTTGAATGTGTACCGAGAAAAAAGTCTCTGGAAGCACACCAGAAAAATCGTCATCTGGATTGTATAAATACCGAGAGAGGCCAGTGACAGATCGAAGAGAGCGGAACCGGAGAACAAATACGGGTAGCGCGGCGACGCTCGGACAAAAATTCGTGACTTTTCGTCGGAGAGAGAGCCAGTGTCCTGTTTTTGCCATCATTAATTCCGGGGATACCGTCGCCGTCACGGCGAGGGTGAGTTTCTTTCTACGCGCGGCGGACGA